GTCGCGTCGCTGGGTGACTGCTAGAAAATCGAAAAACATATGACTCCAACATGCAGTTTCATATGGTCTGTTAAGTCGTTTTATACCATAAGAACTGTTCTCCTGCCTCCATGATATATAGTGACGAAATCAAATCCAACGTGAGGAAATCGACGCTGCAGAAAAACGATAGACGAATCGAATATGCGATAACATCCGAAACACGCACATTCTTGATAGACAAATGGCTAATCCTTGTTCACAGGGAAGATGCGTTCAAGTAGGAGCTCGCCGTATGGGCTATTCTGTTGGTGACTTGTTGACATCGTCATGACCTCCCGTTAGCTATCAGGCCGTTACAGCTTCTGATCTTATGTTGCTCCGTTTACCGTTTACCTCAATCGAAACATTCCTTTTTAAGACCACCGATGCTATTTTTAACAGTTTAATTAAAATAGCAAGTAAGCAGCAGGCATATCTCTATTAAATTAAAATCGCTAAAGTAAAGTAAGGTTATTTAATTGAAACAACGTGGACAAAGCAATTAACTTTTCCAACACGTCGAAATACTATGGCCCATTATATTATTATATGATAGTAATTAGATAGCTAAACCTATGCACAATATCGAATAAGTTCAGCAGCTCCTCCTAGCGCTCCCCGAACAACCTTACCAACTTCAACAGGTTCTGCTGACATTTGCATCAACTTCCGTAAGCCAACACGTTGACCGCTTATCCGGGCAATCTATAATATGTTTTTCGCAAACTTTAATTTCGTGATAGTAATTTCATTCAGCTTTTAACCTTTATCAGTTAGCAGTTTGATTCGAAATTTGGCGCGCTCTGCGATCGTTGCGCAGTTTGCGTTTTTCTGAGTTCTTCAAAGTGATTGTCGTGCGATCAAATCATGAAAATAAGGACCTGCGCATTTGACACTGCCTTTTTCTACTGTCGTTGGGAAACACGGCAGCGAAATTATTTCTGCATGAAATCATTATCAAAAATAAAAATAAATCATTTACAATTTTTAGCCCAAGAAAGGGTTATTAAATCATAAGTGCCAACATAAACAAAATCGTAGTATTTGGTGGAATTTCAGCTGAGGTGCTTTGCTATACGCTTCGAAAACACAATGAACTGTTCAATAAAAAGTATTAGCTAAATAGAGAGAATAAATTAGTTAAATAGAGAGTATGGCCGGAATTAGCTCGTTGGACTGAGAATTTAATTTTTTTATAGAGACAAGGGACGGCATAACGTATTCTTATTCTATGCCAATATATGGCTGAATGAAGTTTTGGCAAAATGAAAAATTCTCACCGTGTTTAGACAGATTTTTTCATAGGTATGACTTTGCTGTATCAGATCGCTACTGATTGGGTCCATGTGGTGCGGCTTTGAGAACAGGCGACTCAGAATGCGCGAGGCAAGTAACTGATTTTTGTTAGCGCAATATATAATGATTGAATTATACATTCGGTACTTATTCCGTTAGGAATCGCTTAGGCATGGCATGGATGGCTTCTAGCAGCACGGAAAAAATTTGTCTACGTTGGGTTTTGAACCTCGACCACCCCATAGGTCCCTACGTTTAATGGACAGACACGCTACCGCTGCACCATCACAGGGACTTGTTCGCCAGCTCTTCTAAAAATGAACATCTTTTAATTTTTTTTTCCGACCAATATTTTACATTACATATACAATGTGATTATGCCACCAAACTATCCTACGAAATCTGAACAGGGATTTAACGAGACAACGTATTTCTCGTAGAAGATGTATATATACAACAAACGTCATGTAGGACACGATTGACCACGTCGACTGAAACCAAACGGGATCAACCTTCAGCTACTGCAGCAGATTATATATGCTGCGTTGTGTCCTTAACGCGCTGTTGTTGTTGTTGCTACTGCTGCTGTTGCTGTTGTCATTACCGTCATTGCTGGTTCCGTACATGAACTGGTAATATATGCCAGTGCAGTGCAGTTGACTCATGTAGGCGCTCGACAAGTCTTGTAGTTGCTTTCGCCTTCGGCTGCTAAATAGAAGTCGTGTGGCTGTTACAACATTAGCAACAACAACCACCAAAATAACAATAAAAAATACGAGCTCATTCGGCGGGGCCGTCATTGGCGTCACTGCCGCCGTGATAGCAGAGCGAGGCGACATCGAACTACAGCGTGGGCAATAAATATTCAACCCCAGACTAGTAGCCAGTCGAGTAGCAGTAGAAGGTAAAGTCAGCAGGCCGGAGTATGTGCAGAAGCGACATCAAAATTCCGCCATCCAGGATTGTGTTATCCCTTTCATTTAGCGGCTTGCCGGTAACGTCCCACAATATCCTTCTCACCCATCCGCATATGACGAGTCTATCCCTAGTTGCCCACGGTATTTCCACACTGTTCCACTCGGGTAACAGAGTTAGTATGACAGAAGCAAGCAATTACAATGAACATAGGCTCAACTCTAAAAAAGAATAGTAAATTGTACTGAACTTTACGCTGCCTATAGGTATACTGCGTTATCCCTGGAATTGCTTTAGATACGAAATAGTGGAACGAGCCCTTAGAAGGTAATGTTCGACTTCGGGAACGACCGCAGCTCAGATGAACGGCATAATAGGAAAAATAAGGCTAAAGTTCCGCTTTCGTTCCAGAAGGATTTTCCTGTACGACGGCGTATAGGTCACATGCTTGCTGTAAACATACATCTAACCGTGAGTCGGTTACTCACTAGTAAAATCACGACAATTCCCTACTGGTGTTTTTCATTTGATCCTATGCCATGCAGTAAAATATGCGTCTGCAACAGGAGCGTATCCCGCAGGCCTAACGCTGGTCGAAAACACAAGCGTACCTTGGAAGATACTTCATCTTTATTGGGAGCAAGAGTTACACTGTGCATACAAAACATCCAGAAAACAATACTGCTCGCCTAACTTTTTGAACTGGGTAAACTCTGTCGCTCCATTACAGATTATCCGTATAAAAACAAAAAAATATAAAATTGAATGCTTTTTTTTCCAATATTTTCACGGTAGGTTTTTACTCTTCCAATGAGTTAGGTAAGTTTTCGCCGCGTGGTGGTGGCCTTTTCCGTAAATTTCCGTAGACGTGCTCAATGCCTCCACTCCTAGCGAAAAAGTGCGGCTTGTAGGCGCGGGGGAAATGTATTAATGCTAACTTTTATACTTTTTAGCTGCCCAAATTATCAATTAATAATTCCTAGTCTTTAATGTCAGTATTAGAATGTAGTTGAAACCATTTACAAAGTAATCAATGACTCACTTCAAGGCACGCAAACTCAAGCAATAATGAGAATACCCATCAATGGTATTAGGACTACCTAAAAAATTGTCCGTCAGTTTACACATATAACGGGTCTAGCGAGGTGCTACTCTTTATTCGATGGCGTCATTGTGGCATAGTATCGTAACGAGAGTACTCCAAAAAGCTAACGGTCTGCCACGTCAATGCGCCATACATACTGTAGCAACTAACGCCAAAACATAAACCCGCATAAGGATTACACGCTGGTGAAAATTAGTACTGGAGACCGACTTATCAGTCTGGATGCTGCTATCCATGACTCTACTAGTTAAAGAGCAACCGACACATAGATTTTTTTTAAAGACTTGCATGGCTGCATTAAAGAATGGCTGGTGTAAGCTTAAATATGACAAGTGTTCAATCAGCGATAAAAGAGCTAACAACAATCGTTTCAGGAGATATAAACTTCAATCCAGCTAGCAGACATTTGTCGGCTTTTTAAAAGAGAACTTGTCACTAAATTTACATTCATATTCAATTTATAGGCATTGTATATGCGAAGTAGTGAAATTTTAAGTTAACTGCTGTTAGTTATTAATTGTTCATCGGTTTTCAAAACACAAACTAGTAGAACATAGAGATCGGACACTACAGAGTAAATATGAATCTATTTCATATAGTAATAGCTGCATTCTGTAATGACGGCTCACGTACGTCTCTGTTTATGCACAAAAGTATAAATATTTTTATGATACGTGCGCTTGCATGTAAGCAATATGTTAAACTTCATTTAACTTCAATAACACCTTACCCAGTTACGATAGTTAGTATTCCGTTTGTAGAGCAATAAATCGTATTTAGAATGTCTATTGTGAAGTAAATTGATAGGTCAATATACGATATTGTTCGACTTTTAAATGGTTTTGTTCCTTGAAGTATCGATCTAGATGCAATCGGTACCCCTTGAAATCGTGCTTCGAAATGTACAGCAGACGAACATCGCTTGCATCGAGTCAATTTAGCTTATTATACGTCTCAAAAGCATTTTAACTTCTCAATGAGGTCCCTATAACTTCTATTGCAAACGTATATTTTTTTTCTAGTGGCTAAGATATCGAAAGTTTACCTACATTTCTGGGTCAGAAGAGAGTACTTTCTACAATGAGAGGCATTGTTCCTCCTTAAAAACCGTCGGTTGATACTTTCGGTCACTATAGAAAATTCAAAAATAGTCATCGTCCGCCAGCTATTCAAAGTTGAATGCATTACACAGGGCAAAATGAGGTTAAATGCTATTGGCGAAATTCGATAAGTACAATAGATGCACAAGTGGCATTGCATATATATATATACAGCAGAAGAACGTCGAGCAATTAAGAAGATTGATTGCATTTTGTCAGGAAAAAGGTAACAGAAACTTAAGGAACGTCCATCATGAAAAACAAAGGCCATTCTACCCTTGAAAACTTCGTCGCTGATATAACCGGCAGGTATGTGTGTGACAAATTCGTTCAAATAACCTCCTCCGTCGGCCGTATCTTGCAAAGATCGATTTACACAAATAATAATACAACAGGATTTTTTTCGACTCAGCTTGCTAATTATCATTAATATAGTTAAATTTCAGAAAAAAAAAGTAGCAGTAGACGGAATCCGGCCATGCATTCATTCCCACCGTGCGTTGAATAAAAAAAAAAACAAAAAGAACTTCTACAGACGGTTTGTTAGCTGGAATGGCTGCAACCTGATAATAATATCTAATGGCACACCGGTACGAAGCTTGCCAATCCGGAACACGGCTTCGTCTGCCATCTGAAGATGTTTTTCGTCTCTGGATTCTCTTTCTCCGTATGGATCTGCGCGTCCTTACCTGGAACATAAATATTCACGTAAGTTATCATATTATACAGCAACCCGACGTGTCCGAACTAAGCATACACATTCACGATCTAGTTACTAGCTTATAAATTGGGTGTAAAGCCATATAAAAACAATGACAATTTTACGTTAGCTTTCACATAAAACATATTACCCTGTATTAGACGGAATTGGTGCTTAACGGGAGCAGCAAATCGGTAGAGTTATTTATGACAGATAATATATGTGCGCCATTATTAAATCAGTGCAACTATATATATATATATGTGAAAGAAAACTCAAATCATTATTAGACAGTCTTACTGCTTACCACAGGTGAACAAATATCTGTTATGCAAGTGCCTCCAAATTAGAAACTATCCACTGAAGAAAGATACTAATACAATTTCATCGATCGCATTTGAAGACTATCTTGTGACATCAGCCAATTATAGGTTGGTAAAAAGTACGCATGTATATTGCAAAGAACATTTAAATTTTTCATTTAGCATTATATAACCGTAGTTGTGTATAGAGTACATGCCTATTTTCTGTTATAGTAAAAACAATAATATTTAATTATGTTCTCTTCATTATAGTGTATACACATACTATTATTTCCACATAGTAGATGAGAGCGGCTCAGTTGATAAGGATCACGTCCCAGAGGCTATTATGTTCGTCTAACTATAACCCATATTACTGTGGTGAGTTCATCTGTCCAAACCAGCAAATCACTTAGTAGGAGTAGTAGCAGTACAGCAAACGAGTATCTAGCGACCACTGCCGCAGCCACAAGACCACATCATCCCTTACGATCATCGTATCTAGGACGATCTCTCTGCATAGAAATTACCCCCGTCCTAACCACTTTTCCATCTGAAAAGGCACCATCGTCATAGCTTAAGCCAATCTACATACAAACAGCTTGATTTACCCAGCCCATTGACAACTGAATGTTGCTCACTGCTAGATATGTACATTGTATTATATCTGATAGAAACACGAAGAGATATGCGTAATTCATTAGAAATGTTGTGTTTCTCTCTATGTCAATGGTGTGTCCAGATCACGCAGGACGCTGAAATATTTTTCGTTCACACTTGGTTTATATACGGCTACATGGATCGCCCGTCCTGTCAGGGCTATACAGGATGTTCTCAGTCTACCCCCACATTGTTGGCTTCATAACTGTCAGGCTTTTGCTCCGCCTCTGGCTACGTGCGTCCTGAAAAAGCGCCATTGTACCTTATCATGTCGTCGTACTCACGGAACGATAAAAAGATGCTCCAGTCCTTAGTCGGGCGCATCGAAGCATCCTAACTCTGTTTTGCTTTAAAGTAATGGCAGCGTCAGCTCGTGCGAATCCGGGTCAGCGGTGTAGTAATATACGGCATGGACGACGCTTGCTTACGATAAAGTCTGTTCGAGATTTTTATAGAATCGATAAATACATGAAAGATGTCGCACGGTGAGCATTGAGAGAGGTTTTCTACTTACAAACAGACCATATGAGGTAATATACATTTCAATGATTGAGGTACTCTTGTTTATGTAAATCCTACCGGTTGTCGCTCGCTTCGCCTGAGCAATCTATCTATACAACACTACAGTTAGGTCGACGCCATCTGCAGTCGCTTGTGGTTGAATGGAGAACGTATTCTGGTTTCGCAACGCACTATAATACAGATATCGTTATTCGCTTCTTCCTTGACTGCAAGTACTGCGTAAAGGGACGTCCTTCCCCCTCCAAATGGTCTTTCCTAAGAATATTTTTCGAACGTTCAGTAATATCAGTGTTGAGGGTACTACCGGTGCATGTTTATGGGAAATACACGGTAGCCGGAAACGATTTTCTGGGGATGACACGATTAAGCCCATAGCAGATTCATCTCACACGTGACCAATATGGTGGTAATGATCAAAGTGAAATACTTGTTTTTTGGAATTTGTGGTTGACTTAGTATACGCTCAACGGGACAATCTACTGGAAGGTAAAATCTTAGTTTAATTCCGGAGGCAATAGGTTTATAGTGGGTATATCTTGGATATACGTATAGTTCGTTTTCATAGCGCTGGTTACGACGGGAGCAAAATCTTTAGAATTCTAGGTAGACTTAGATAGAAATAAATGTATCTGTTGTAAATTTAACGTTTGCGTCATCCTTCTTCCTACAAAGGGAATAGATCACTTTTTTTGTTAGGAGGTCATTGAGGCTGGTGTCGTTGTTCTTCTAGGGGTCGGTAACGAAGTAGATAAACACAAAAGGTGTTTTTTTCTCGGTAGAAATGCCGCATTAAATATACACACATAAACAGAGTAACGGTTGTGACTCTGTTTATGATAAATGCATATCTTAGTGCATAAAAGCAGACGTAACCTTTGTTAACTGAATGTGGCAACATCCCATTTCCCCCCCCCCCCCCCCCCCCAAAAAAAAAAACAGACCTTATGTCACATGGCTGAGAAGGTTATTTAGCGGCACAGTCAGAGCATGGCACCTCCAGTCTCCACCCAGCATTGTAAAGCTTCTATACATACAACAGAGTACGGAGCAACACGTCCAGGATGCACTCTCGCCTGTTACTTCCCATTAGTTGAAATGGATATCCTTCAAATTGCGGGAGCTCTATAAAGCCTAGCAACTTTGTGGCTTTGTTATTGCCTTGTAAAATTTCTCGTGACCGTTTGTTTTACGTTAATGGATGGCTTAAGGAAATCTCATTTAGCCGTCCTACTACTGCGTTTTTGGTACTGCACCTCGAGCTAGACAGATCTGCGAGAGAGACATTGATCTGGCGAAGGCCTGAAGGGATGAATGATCAAATATCTGATTGAATAATCAAATGGTCAGTCAACAACATCCCTTACCATTATTGATGTTAAGCTGGACAGTGGTGCCTAAGTACGACGAATATTTGCCAAAAAGCAAGGAAAACTGGAAATAACTGTATTAAAGCGAATGCTTATAATGACAAAGTTTGAAGCCCATTATTTATCGTATACAAACCAATATTGCTCTTTTTGTATATATATATATACAATTCTAGTACTTTGGCAAGTAAGCTATGCCCCACTAACAAGGTGTTAAATTAGCAATTCGATAGTTAGGCTACCAAAGGAAACTGTCTGGATTCATCTATCCGAGAGGTGACAAACTACAAACAAAAGTATTTAAAAAAAACAAACAAACGAAAATTTGATCGTGGTCGTTGCCTATGAAAACTCGAGAAGAATGACTATCGCTTAGCTTGGCTACGAGAACCTTCGAACAGCTATGGACTACAGGGATACAGTGTGACCGTCGCCACTAAAATATACAATTTCGATATAAAATGACGCCAGGACCATTATTGTCATCGTAATCATACGCCGGAACAAACCCAAAATATAATACCTTACGATCTTCGCTCAATGATGTATGCCTTTCTCAGTGGATTATATCATAGCGAGTAAGTGAAACATCGAATACCAGCAGGTCAAATAAGCTCGTCGCAATTACGATTTGGTTGCTGAAATTGGTTTCTATGGGGGTATTTTAAAGCTACCTCCCCAATTCAAGGAGATAATCGTATAACACTATAGTAATGAACTACTACAGTAATGACAATAATATGGAAATTGTTAGCGATGCCAAATATTTTGCATTGTGGGTGACCACTATGTCAGGTTCAAAGAGAAAAAGAAGAACCGAGCGGCGTACATCGTTCGCATTCGCTGTATGAAGAGAATGCTCCAGGACTTGTTTCCGCGCTTGTTTTGCAAGACAGCAATGTATGCTTTATATTAGAGCAAAAGAGTTTGCAAGTCCGATTTCCAAGGGTCTCTAAACAGAATTTGGCTTCCACTCCCAGTAGTTGGTCCCGATTCAATTATGCAATAGTTGTGTTAGAAAGAAACTTGATTTTATATTAACTCTGACCTGCCCTGCTACATGCTGAAATCCATCTTTGTACATCCGAACGAAAATCTTTTACGCTTACAATAGACTAAATAGAATTCGTTTTTTCAGTGCGTATTCAATTTGCCGTTAAAAGAAGTAAATGGATTACTGGATATGGCCCGATCCTGTTGGTTGTGTACAGTTGTTTTACCCACAAATAGTATCACATAGAATGTAAATCATGATATTGCAAACGTTATCAATTTTTTCCACTCGGAAATTTGTTCAAGACGAGATAGAACGCTCAATGAATATATATAAACAGTACAAGCGTTCGAAGTATTGCAGACACGATGTCTATGAGGACGACGAGAAGATCAACGAAAACGACAAGTTAGCGCCACATTCTACGAAGAAGCGGAATATATCCACTATCTATTACTGCTTTATCACTTTACCAAATCTGCCTTTCTCCGTTTCCCCTGTTTGTCTTACTTTGCCGTCCTGGTTGTCACTTTGCAGATTGCACAATGATTTTAAAACGACCCATTCTATTTTACAAGATCAATATCTAATGATCGTATAGAAACTGAGTGCCATCCGATCATGTCCTAGTTAAACATAAATATAACACTTAAACATTGAACGCCTATTCATCATCGAATAGTAATCACACAATTTACAGCGTAAAATAAAAACAAAAATCGTTTCATTTTATTGTCTGCTAGCTGGAGGAGGTCCTTCCCAGCAGCAGACAGCTTCTAGCCTCTTGTCAGTGTGCCACTGCTTTCACTATACATAAAATGCCGAAACGCTGCAGACGACAACCGCCGTAGCACCAACAATAATAACAACTGCAATAGCAATAATACGCAGATAGGAATCTTCTTCGCTTCGCGTCTACATTCTGATAACCGCAACAATCGTATCGTGCCTGTTTCACTTCTGGAGATGCTCTGATAAAATCAAGCGATACCGAACGAAAGCGCAGTTTTCATCACGCCAATGCACCTTCGACGACATGGAAGAACGAAATCAGCTGGCACACTTCCGCTGCTGACGCTTCGCGTCCTTTGTTTTCCCTCCTAATCAAACCATAACTGCGTTGCGTCAGCGTCAGTTTGCGCTG